AACAAGACGATCCTAGACGGTATCAAAAAACGTTTGGACCTCAAAAAGGGCTGTTGGGCCGACGAATTGGATGGCGTCCTCTGGGCGCACCGAACAACGCCGCGAGGCGCGACTAAGGTCACACCTTTCTCCATCACCTACGGTGTCGAGGCAATGGCACCAGAGGAGGTCAACATTACGAGCTTACGTCGCGCCAGGCTCCAGCAGAACGAGGACGTTAAGGAGGAAATGATGTTTCATGCTTTGGATCAACTCGAAGAACGCCGCGACCAGGCACTGCTCCGAATCCAAAATTACCAAAACCAAATCCAAAATTAATACAACAAAAAGGTTCATTCTCGACCGCTCAAGCTCGGAGACCTCGTACTTCGAAAGGTGTTCGAAAATACGAAGGAATTGAAGGCCGGCAAGCTCGGAGCCAACTGGGAAGGCCCTTACAAAATAACTAAGGTTGTCAAACCAGGAGTGTATAGACTTGAGACATCATCGGGAGAGCCGATCCCACAGTCCTGGAATTCCCTAAACCTCAAACGTTATTACCTATAACGTCCCTGCACTTCAAAAAAAAAAAATACATATATATATATCGTATATATACTCGCCGAGCAAATGCGTCTCCTGGCCACTTTTGCCGTAGAGTAGCACTCACATCACAACTGAGTAAATGCGTTTCTACCACTTTTACTCGCCCGAACAAATGCGCCGCCATAGCCACTTTTGTTCGGACAGAAAACGAACTACGAATGACTTGATCCTCTAGCGAGGTACGTAGGCAGCCCCACCAAGGGTTCAGTCATACCCCAACCAAAAATATATAAAGCTGGTTTACTCGAGACCGATACGAAACCACTCACACTCGTGTATCCAATAAAGATCACGGCGGCTAACTCGTGCTCGGAAGAAGGTCCGCCCTTCACCTACGAGTACCTCTCGCGAACACCGATTAAGGCTCACGACACATCGGAATCCCACATGACGAACCCCACCGAAGGAATCCCCTTTTAATGCTCATGCGGCATTCGAATGCGCGGATACTTCTATGGGACCCGAGGACGAGAAACAATTAACAGATCAGACACCTTCACTTTACATACCTAATCGGTTGATTGTAATGAAGTTCCATTAATAAAAGTTTCCTCCTATAAGCCTTCTCTCTTCCTTTCTGTCCTATTTCCCACCGAACCTAATCTTACATCTACGTTTTGAGCGTATGATCGAAGTGTTACGCGGAATGTTCGCTGGCAGATATATCTTAAAGGATCCTTAACAGGACCATTCGGGATTATATCTCCACCAAAGGACTTTGATAAAAGACGAGGAAAAGGACAAGCATTCGTCAAAATGACCTAAGTAATAAACTTCATACGACACGAATCTGACGGCGTTCAACGTAACAAGAGTTTAGATGGAAATCATACATTACACAAAAAAGAAGTCCTAAACGAAATTACACGGGATAAACGGGAAACGTTCCCAAGCTCAGGTCTCGACGTCAACTTCCTCGTCCTCAGGATCAGCTTCTTCCACAGTCTCCGGATTCGCATTCGACGCGATAGCTCCCAGATTTCCCAAGTCATCAGCAAGAATAGCCGTATCCTCTCCCGTCTGGTCAGCCGTGGATGCCGGGGAAACCTGCAACGTTGCATCAATGATGTGCGACCCCGAGCCGACGACTTGTTCTCCCGCCTTGGTAGGGACCTCTTCAACTTGATCATCCACGGGAATCGGATCCGTTGGTAGCGTCACGGCGACGATTTGGGAGTCGTTCGCAGGAAGCGTTGGAAGGTCATGTTGCGGGCTGCGGAGCCCTCGCGCAACCGTCGAGTCGATTAATCCCGAGTTAGAGCCGAAGGGATCAATACCGGACAACAGGCGATCGTCCACGAACAGAGACGGGAGCACCAGGGGAGAAAGGGTCATGCAGCTCTCGGGAAGATCCCCCACCTCCACGCTATCCATCTTTTCCTTATATTTGGAGGCTTTCGTCCCAAAGGTTTTCACAATGTTGCTCGGGATAGGATGACCCTTCCTGCCGATCATTTCGAGGCAGCTTTTGACTCCGGAAGCTTGACCGTACAGTTGACGTTTCTCCTCGTAGACATCGTGACGAGTCAGGTAATCCCGAACGTTCTGGAAACAGCGCTGAAATTTGGCCACATACGCTGTTTGGACGCGGACTCTCTCTAGAGTGACCTCGTGAGTACGAGATCGGCGCAACCTCTTAAGCTCTTGGTCCTTCTCCTCGATGATCGCAGCCATCATAGCCTTCTCACGCTCCGCTTCGGCCAATGCCTCCCGAGCGGTCATGGCTTCCTCCTCTCGAGCATCAGCTCTCTTCTTGTAGTCGAGGTTACGACCGCGTGCTCTGTCCCTTTCTTCCAAGATATTCTTGGTGACCTCGAGCATCTCGGCCTTCTTCTTCTCTAAAAGAGCGTCTCTCGCCGCGAATCTCCTCTCAGCCTTCTGACATTTCTCCATCGACTGGCGGAGGGCTCAGTCGTATTTGTTCACCAGATGATTCCGTCGGGCCATGGCCTACGCAGCTGAGGAAAAGAAAATCATTAGAAGGGATCACAGCATCGAGCAAGACCAAGACGAAGGAAAGTAAGGCTTACGATGATATCGGCGCTAGCGGAATTTGTGAACTCATCCACGAACACCAAGTCTGAAACCGGAGGAAGTTCCCTAGGACCGCCCCGAATCTGGCGGACCAGGTCAGCACATTTGTTCGGCAACGTGCACAGCGGGGTCACATCCTCGTGATGGAAATCCACTTTATCGTTGAACCCCTTCAAGACGCGATAAGGGAAAGTGACCCCTCCTTTCTTGACGGCCAGCCGCGCGGCCCTAGGGATTGGAGCATCCACGAGAGGAGGGGAAGAAGCCGATACAGACCCGTCAGGGGCCCGGGGTCCTAGAGCAGATCCGCCGATCTCAGACGATTTAGATTTGTGAGAGGAAGGAGCCGGCGTGGAATCCTCGGGAATATGGTCCTTGGTGGCAGGCTCACCTGCTCCGGAAGACTTGGAACCTCCCCTCTTCTTCTTCTTGCCTCGAGGAGCCCCATCCTCCGCTTCCATCGAATGCTCCCCTCCTCCGACGGTAACATCCGGGCCCAACGGAGGGTTACGGTCGTTGCCCGATCCATCTTCTAACGTCGTTTCTTTCCTCGGGCCAGGGGAAGAGGTCGGGATCTCAATGGCCGAATTTGGCTCTACAACCACCGGAGCACGATCATTTCCCTCATCAACAGTTCGGGAGTCCTCGGGGGCCGGTAAACTTTCTAGAACGTCGGAACTCACTCTCTTCCTCTTCCTCGTTAAGGGCTCGGCCCCCTCTTCCATCGAAGTTTCCTCGTCCTCACCCCGAGCAGGAGCATCACCCGCCGTCCCGCTAGAGGGGTTTACCCCAACGGTCGGAGCGTCGTTGTGGGTTTGGGAAGTCTCGGCTTCCTCAATCTCATCCTCCATGAGATCGCAAAGGTTCACAACATCCTTCATGTCTTTCTTATCTCTTTTCCTCGGAGGGGAAGAATGTTCTTTGGGAAAGATAGGTAGACGGCTACGACCTCGGACCTTGGCTCGCAAATCGGATCTCCAATCAACTGCGAAAAACGGCGAAGAATAAGGAAGTTAGGATTGCAATAATTAAAGAATCGAGTGAATGAAAAGGGGGTCAAACTAACGAATACCTCGAGATATTCGGTCAAGCGAACGTCGAATACGCGAGAACGAGATGTCGGACCAACGAAAAGGAGCAGCGCGAGCGATTTTCCGAACTACGCGGAGAAAGTCCTCGGGATAGTCCTTCGTGTTGGAATGCGGAACTGCAAAAACAAAGTCAATAACGAGGGAAACGAGTTAGATCCAGAACAAATGATGACGTATTCGGCTAAGTACTCTACCAAAGCTCGGGCTCCAAAGAACCCGGAAGTCCTCACTCAGCGGTTCCTCGAATGCACTCTTATCCGACCTCACATAAAAATACCAACGCTGCCAATCGTCGGACTTGTTCGGAGGACTCTGTAATATGCCCAGGCCTGGTCGCATCTTCACAGAGAAGTAACCGTTCTTCATGTTCGATGCCGTAGTTAACTCTTCGAAAGCCCGAACACTCAGCGGTAGGTCTTCCTCGGCAGCCATGACCATGAGACCGACGGCCACTCGAAAACAATAAGAGGTGATGAACTGGGAGATCGCCGCATCCCGACGAAAACAATAAGAGGTGATCAGTCGGGGAATTGGGAACCACATGCGAGTATCCTTCTGAAAATATGATTCGTAGACGCATTGATACCCGACCGGCGGCGTCCAAGGCCTCTGATTCGCATTCGGAATGATGAACGTCACGCCTTGTCCTCCCCGTTCCCTCAGGATCGTCTTCACGGTTTCAGTATTCGATTTGGTCTTGAGAACGTTTTCCCAATCCTGTCCTTCCACCTTCGTTGGGCGAGAAAATTCGGGATGAAGAGCCAGTAGTTTCTCGAACAACCCCCCTGGAAAAAAATGGACGGGGATCATCGGCTCGTCCTCCAAGCAAAGAGAGTTGCCAGGAGCATCCCTAACTTGAGAACCACTCGAATCTTCTCCCGATCCTGAAGAAGCTCGCGTTCTAGCAGCCTCTTCCTCCCGCCTAAGTCTTTCAGAATCAACCATCACGAGTAATCGTTGAGATAGATCTAGCCCTTCCTGGTCGCGTAGAGCCTCTTGATGTGCTAGCTCGGATTCAATTATCTGACCTGACGAATACTTGCTCCTCGGGGAGGCCAGAACTGTCTGATATCCCTTTACCTTTCTCAATCGGCGTCAGACGTCTCTCAGAAGACATAAATCGACTAAGAATGATAGAGAGAGAAAGGAGAAGAAGTGAGAGAGAGAAGATATCTGTGAAAAGCAAAGAAGATGAACAAATGAGACAAGAGGGAGACTATTTATAAAGGAGGAGACAAACGCGCGTTCCAACGCGCATTAATTAGGTCTACGAGGCCTATTGGGCCTACAATGCGCCTAGAGACACGCGAATCGGCCCGAGACTCTTCACCTTCCGATCGAACCAGCCCCGTAAATCGAGGCAAACCATTCCGGTCAAGCTAAATTGACTCCGGTTCATATCGAGCAACTTATTCTCCCGACCACCATAATTCCATTTCACTAAGCCCGAGCACCGATCATAGTGAATTGGGGGGGGGGGCTTATTGTAGGGGATGGACTCGGGTCCATCCCTCAAGGCCCGTCGAATAAGAAGCCCAAGCCCATTACTCGGTTCAATCGAGCGAGGAGAGCATTTGGCCGCAACACGACAAAGGAGTCGATGCGAGCTTACGTCATCGTCCGTACTGAGTAAAATGATCCGGCCCGCCTATGAGGCCCAAGAAGCAAAGAGCACGGCCCATTAGGTACAACGTACAACGACCTATAAAAGTGAAGAGATGGCGAACTTAAGAGGGATCCAAAAATAGACTGACGAAGCGGCAACAAAACTAGGGTTTCACTCACATTGTTGTTCTTAGGTCGGTCCGTACACTCCGGTAGCTCCCGAGCACCGTCGTTTTCTTTGTAAACGTTCACTCTTTAATCAATAAAATCACTCTTCGTTTCTATTTGTTCGTTTATACCTTCGTAATAACCCACCGACGAGTTTCTGTCGATCATTTACTTGTTATCACCAAACTCGGTTCAAACATTATTTTTGTTTCTGCAGTATGTTCTGTGGACCAGGTGGACCATACGCTATGTTTGCAGGGAAAGATGCAAGCCGAGCTTTAGCAAAGATGTCGTTTTAGGAAAACGATTTGCCCGGAGATATCTCGGGTCTCGGTCCATCTGAGCAAGACACGTTTCAAGACTGGAAATACAAGTTCATGAGCAGGTATGTCAACGTTGGGACCCTTCAGAAGAAGCATAGAGAAGGCAAAGAAAGTATAGAACCTTCTACAGGCAGTGGGAAAGAAGCTTCAGCTACTACTGTTGGCGAAACTTCTAGAAGCGTTGAAGAGAAAATAATAGAAACCATCGAGAAGAAGGATGTTTCAGATGGCGATGCTGTAAAGGAGGAGGAGTAAGGCAATGTAATCGGATGCAACACTCTGTCCTGAGAAATTAATGAGATTTGAAGTTACATAGCTCAAATTGGAAGAAATAAAAAAAAAAGTAGATTTCGTGTACATTTTGGATCTTATGGTAACATTTTATGAATTGTTTTTGTTTATGATGATTGCGAAATCGCCATCAAATTGAACGAATTTGCGTTCGTGTTGTAGCAAAATTTGTGCCATTTCGCTGGTGGGTTTGTTGTTTTATACAGCGTTTGAATTGTTGTTATTGAGATATGGGAATGATTGTTAAGCTGAAGCTCTTAAACCATATCTATAGGAATTTTCTCTTATTCTAGTTTTGCATGTTTATTATTATTACCACTCTTATTGTTGAAAATATTCTGTAAGCTGGAGATGGCTTGTGGATGGTGTGTTGGAGAATCCCAAGTGCCATAAAGCAGACTCTAATACAGATTACAGGTTTAGTCGTTCTTTATTGTCAGTCATGTAATGATAGTTCTGGTCCAACATATGCGTGGAGCTATCAATCCTCTCTGTACACAAGGAATCAATCACCCACATTTTCCTGAATTAAGCCATGCGTGCTTCTAACTATTAGTGATGCTTCCTTTTGTTAAACTGATTACGTAAACAAGAAAGCACAAAAAGGAAACTATAGATGGAATCAAATGCCTTCTAAAGTGCTCTGAAATAAATCAAGAATATCTATTAACCCTGGAGATTAGTGACCTTAAAAAATGTTGGATGTATATTCATTCAGACATGGAAGAAGAAAGTGATATGAACTCCAAACTCCCAAACAGAGACCGACAAGAAAAATAAAAGATCAAACAAGAAAAAATAAAATAAAAGATCAAACAAGAAAAAGGAAACAAGATTAACAACATCACATGAACCATACTCCGAAACAGAGCCAGACAAACGCTGTCACAAAAACACTGCTTCTTGAAACCATCACATGAATAGCACCATTTTTATCATCAGCAACCTCACCGTCATCGTCTCCCGGAGCGTCAGCGCTCGGTCCGTCAGCGTCTTCATCAGCCTCCGCGTTCTTAGGCTTGTGCTTACTTGACTTAGGAGCTGGAGCGGCCGTCTTAACAGCCTTGTAGATTTCTCTCGGTAACAAAACTTTATCCACCTTGTAAATGATCAACGGCTCTTGATCCTTTAACGTCCCCATTATCTTCGCCGTCACAACGTCCGTCTCAAGAGTCACGTCCTCTCCATCGTTCTGAACGGTGAAGTCAAACTTGTTGTTTCCTTCAGTCGCCAACGTGTTAACGGCGCCGTTACCTGATCTAAGCATCTGCAAAGATTGGTAAACCGGCATGCCATGGTACAACACCAATGCCGTCTTGTTCGCCGCAGAGAGAGCTTTGAACTTAGGCATGAACTTTCCGACAGCGCTGTCGGAAGGACAGAACACCGTCAAGCCTCCGTCGACGGTGTCTTGAAAGGTCTTGTCGGCTCCGGTGGATTTCAACATGTCAGAGAAAGCTTTGCATCCTTGCTTTTCAAGAATCGTGGTGAGGATGAGATCGCTAGGGCTGGCGGTCGGAGCCTCCGCTTCGGGCGAGGTCAAGACTTGGCTGATATGAAGAACGGAGATGTTGTAAGCCTTCTCAAAGATGGACTTGACGTAGTGAGCAGTGAGTCTGCTGTCGTCGTCCTGGACACCAAAAGCAACTTTCCCGCCTTTGATGTCTGTGATGTTGACGTATCCGGAAGTTCCAGTGGCGGATCCGGTGGATTGGAACATGGATGCGGTGGAAGTGGAGCCGTCTGTGATCTGGTGGAGCTTCTTGGCGCCGAAGTAATCGACTAGGACGTGGAGGGAGAGAATGTTGCGGATTGTGTAGAGTGAGTAGCCTTTGGAGAGGATAGAGTTCATTGCTGAGTTGTCAACGGCCAAGACGGTGATGGTTTGCCGGCGGTTGATCTCGTCGGCCAGATGAGTGGCTGAGAGGTAGTGGTTGAAAGTGGAGAAGTCAGGGTCTTTGGCCAAGATTTTGGTTATGTTGTGGGCGTTCGAGAGAGCAAAGAGTTGGAATATGAAGATCATTGCGGTGGCGGCTCGCCGGAAATAAGCCATTTTGGGACTAGGGAGGCTGAGATTAGTGGACTTGATTGGTTAGCACTGAAGAAAGAGGTCTCTAATCATTATAAAGAGATATTTTAACAATAATAATAAGAATAAAAGCTGTCTCGAATAGTTTCCAGCGCAGCAAGCAGGTAAGACTGGGGCCACATAGGTCCAGTCTGAAAGTAACATGGGTGTCCGAGTGTTCTATACACTAACCGACACTTTCTTTATTTTGAACTTAACCGACAATTATTTCCCCGCCTTTAAAAACTAGTATTTAAGTCAAATTATTTACGTTGGTTTTGGAGTATGTATTATATATATTTGTCTTCAGCAGCTTAAGGTTAATTGGTTTTCTCTCACATAGTTCGAAGATGAGCAAAAACCAAAAAATATAATCATCTGCACGCAGGTGCTAGAGAAGTGCCTGGTGCTTGATCCATAAAGATTCGCAGAGCACAGGGAGGAGAATGTTACAACATCTGCAGAGCAAGAGAAAGAACAACATACTTCTAAGAAAAATTCAAATATTGATTGGTTGACCATTGATAGATTGGGTGTTGGTCCGAGTTCTTGTTTATTGTATCCGTAAACAGAAGTCATTAATCTGATTAGCCCTTGTCCTCGAGCTTGCAGTGTGTCATGAAGAAGTTATCTTTTTTTTTTTTTTTTTTTTGTTGAAACACAAATGAAGAAGTTATCTAGAGCAGAAGTTTCATGATCAGAAAATTCAGAATGTGACTGAGTGATTTAGAGACAGATGATGAAAAATATTAAAGAAAAGCTACAGAGCTTAGGATGTATCTGGAAAGTACTAGTAAAACCGTAATCCTCTAAGCCAAAAGTAAACGATGATCATTTATGATAACTATGCAATGCATTATGTACGAATAGTTTTATTCCACAAAAATGTTTGTGTTGTTCGCTCCATTCTTTGCAAGAGTATCAATACATTGGTTGAAAAGTCTATACCTATATGGCTATATCCCTTGATTGTGTTTATCTACTCTCGAGGCTTTATATATTATCTGTCATCGTTATGTAGTCGAACAATATTAAATTTTTTGTCCCCTTCAAAGATTACTTTGGAATATCCTAAAGACCAAGCAGCTTGCATTGCCCATATAATGGCTGAACATTTGGCCTCTTCAGTCATTAAACAACCTTTGTAATTTCTGCATTCCTCCTTCCAAAACTGTCTCAGCACTGTTTCATATATCTAATCTAACCCAGAGTTTCGAGTTTCTGCATCATAGTTACATTTTGTCCAACCGATGGGAGATCTTGTCCAATATAGTTGGGATAGTCTGTTGTTTGGGTGCAGTTCCATAGCCAATGTAGATCCGCCTTGCCTAAATACTTATACAATCCATTTCAATGTTAAGCCAAAAAAGTTGGTGATATACTGACGTGCTTATTTGGCCAATGAAATTAATAAATCAAACAAAAAAGAAATTTGCGCTCTATTACAACACCCCTACATATCCACTGAAGATGCAAAGATCAGATGGATATTCTGATACAGACGCAAGTGAGCAAGACCGAATGGAGCAGAGTCTACGACAAAGTGTGTGCATGCGGATGAATAAGATAAATACCTGAAGAATGGTTTAGTGAAGAACAAACACAAAGAGATTCACCTTGGAGAAGAGATATCTCGTAAATGGAAAGTTTGAAAAAGACTTAGTATGAGTTTTGGGAATTTACCATATTTCGTTGTTTAGTAAATATTGGGTAGATAGGCTAGGGTAGCCGACTTGACTATAATGTATATATATATAGTCATGTACGACCTAGATATTAGGGTTGTCACTGGAATTGTATTCTTAGCATAAGAGTGGGTTTCATAAGCTTGTAAGTGAGTGAAATCACTAAGGGCTGAGAGGAGAGGTTCTAAGATCTTGTATTCGATCTTATGACGTGTGAGGCTTGGGATTCTGTTTAAAGAGATACTTGTGAGTTTGATTTAAAAGAATACTAGCAAATACACATATCTTTGTAGAGATATTCTCTGGTGTATTGTGTGCTTTACATTTGTGCCATAGTTCTTGTATTTACAATTGGTATCAGAGCAGTCACCTGCTCGTCTATATAACATGTGAGATCATGCGGACAAAATGGAGAATTATCACGAACTGGTGTCAAGCGCAAGGGTGATCTTAGATGCATCCAACTATGAGCTGTGGAAGGCTAGAATGAGGTCTATCATTTGTGGGATTGATGTTGTAGCATGGAAGTCAGTCACGTCAGGGTGGGTTTAACCTAAGGTCAAGGATGAGGATGGAGTGAAAACCAACAAATCCGAAGAAGACTGGACTGAAGCAGAACTTAAGTCAGCAAAGTTCAACTCGAGAACATTATCTGCTATCCATGCGAGTGTCACTAAGAAACACTTTGAGCTGATCCAAGGATGTGAGACATCAAAAGAAGCTTGGGAGATTCTACAGACTCATTTTAAAGGAACCTCAAAGGTGAAAAGCTCACGGATAGATTTTCTAGCATCAAAGTTTGAAAATCTAAAGATGGGTGAACATGAAACCATTGAAGATTTCAGCGCACAGCTGAGTGGAATTGCACAAGAATCCTTGACTCTAGGAAAGAAGTTTAAAGACAAGAATTTGGTGAAGAAATCTCTAAGATGTCTTCATGCCAAGTACACATCGTTCAAAGCTGCAATGTCTGTGTCTCTAAACACTGATGAAATCGAGTTTGATGAAGTTGTGGGAATGCTCAGAGCACATGAGATGGAACTTGATGGGGGGGGGGAAGAAAGCAAAGATTATAGCTCTGGCGTCTCAGTAACTCATTGAAGAAGATGACGAAGAGGATGATTCAGTAAGTCTGCATGTCAGAAGATTTGATAAGGTACTGAGGAGAGTCGAAGCGAATCAGAAGAAGGGTGCTACTCAACGACGTACGAGTGACACTGACAAGCGTACACCAGAGACAGAGTCAAAGTGTAACAAAAAATCTGATGTGAAGTGTCATGAGTGTAAAGGGTTTGGACATTACAAAACCGAGTGTCCAACTGTGAGAAGAAGAGACATCAAGTGTTTCAGGTGCAAAGGAATAGGTCATACACAGCTCGAATGCATCAAGGATCAGAAAAACCGTCGTGAGAAGTCACTAATCGGAATTGATGAATCTGATTCTGAAGAGAATAGTGAAGAGGAAGAGCCAAACGACTTTGTGGCATTCTTAGGAATCACTGAGTTTGTTGAAGGAGAGATAGACACAGAAAAAGATCAGTCGGGGACAGATGACGATGACATAGAAAACTACCACGAGCTGTGTCAGACAGTAGTTCAGCTAGGAAAAGAAAATCTTGGGCTTAAGAAGGAGAAGATCTGGCTGGAAGAAACAATGATGAACCTTAGAAGAGAGCTAGACGGGAGAAGCTCAGAACTGAAGAAAGAAATCTGCTGTTAGTAGCTAAAATCCAGACATTGGAAAAAGAGATTATCACTAAGAAAAAAAGGGCATCTGAACTACAGACAACACTTGAGCATCACCGCAAGACAGTCAAAATGCTTACTGGATCTAAGGAATTGGACTCGATCATGAGCTTGGAGAGGCAAGAAAGCGGTCATAGAGGTCTGGGTTACAGAAGATATGGTGCTGCTCAAGAAGAATCAGTCAAGTTTATACCAAGTTCTGGTCTAGAAGGAAGTCAGAAAAGAGTGTTCATTGTCAACATACAGAAGAAAGAAGAATTAAAGGATGCTTTCATTGCAGAAAACCAGGTCACATCAAGAAAAAGTGCTATCACTTTCGAGAAAGGGTTAATTAGTTGCTGAAGAAAGGAACGTTCTGGTGGAATGGCAATCGAAGTCAAGTCTGGATCAGACGTTCTGATATATAGAAGTCTAGGCCAGGCCATGTGTCAAACCAAAGACATCTTAGATGTAGTATGGCCCTGGTATCAGAAGATGAGACTCCCTCGTACTTCGACAGCGGGTGTTCTAGACACATGACCAGAAAAAGAGAGCACCTCAAAGATGTGAAGGCTTTGAAAGGCGGGAGAGTCACATTTGGAGATGGAAGCCAAGGTGGGACAAAAGGAAAAGGTCGAACTATTGAAGATAGACCACCTCTAAGTAATGTATATCTGGTTAAGGGTCTAAAAACCAATATGATCAGTATCAACCAGTTATGTGACGAAGGATTGTCTGTGTCGTTCACCAACAAGGACTGTAAAGCAGTGGACGGAGACAACAAGACAATTCTGCATGGGGTAAGGTCATCAAACAACTGCTACATATGGCAAAAGTCACTAAGATGTGTCATTTCACAGGATGATACACATCTATGGCATCAAAGGTTGGGACTCATGAATGCTCGACACATGACTGAAATAGTAAAGAAATGCGTTGTTCGAGGAGTTCCCCAGTTAGGAGATATGAACAAGATGGTGTGTGGTCCATGCAACAAGGGAAAACAGATCAAGATACAACACAAGGCAATTCAAGACATTTAGTCTACGAAGCTACTTGATTTGATTCATATGGATTTGATGGGACTCATGTAAACGGAGAGTATAGCAGAGAAGAGATATGTTCTAGTGTTAGTTGATGACTTCTCCAGGTTTACTTGGGTCAGATTCATTCGAGAAAAGTCTGATACACTAGAAAGCTTCAAGATATGAATGCTCCAGATTACTAATAGAAGCAAGAAGTTGAAGCAAAGTCGCAGTGATCAGGGGGAGATTTCCAGAATGAAGCTATGACATCGTTCTGCGAGCAGCATGGCATAGGTCATCAATTCTCGGCTCCAAGGACTCCTCAGCAGAATGTGGTAGTTGAGAGGAAGAATCGCACACTCCAAGAAATGGCAAGGGCGATGATGCATGGGAATGATGTTCCAACAAGGTGCTATATACTGAATGACAAGGATCATCTCGGGAAGTTTGATGCAAGAAGTGATGAAGGCATGTTCTTGGGCTACTCAGGAAACAACTCAGCATTCAGAGTGTATAACATAAGATCCCTCAAGATCATGGAGTCCGTAAATGTGGTGTTCGACGATGCTTCTGTGATGAGATGGGATGAAGATGATCACACAGATGAA